CTTTTTATCAATACAGTGCTGTTTAATGAATACCAATCAAAATAAACTGGTCTTTTGTTTTACTCAAAACTTCACGACCGACTCAAAAGTCCTAGTTTTTCTGCAGTATTTCCTTTAATGAGCAGGAACTGGTCATTAATGTTCGTCTTAAAGGTTATACAGTCTGCTACACATTATCCAGTAATCTGTGTGCTTCATGGCTTTTCACAGTGATTCACAGTTCGACCTTGTCCTGTATCGTTTCAGTGTCAGCCACAGCTTTTTATAAAGCCCAGCCAGTCATCCAGTTCATGTGCGAGGTCCTGGACATTCACAGCATTGACGAGCAGCCCCGCCCTCTCGCTGACTCCCACAGGGTCAAGTTCACCAAAGAGATCAAAGGTATGTCGCCGAGGAAAGGCAGTGCTTGTTTTCACTCTGCCGCTGCGTTTTTGTTTTATTTGATGCGTATGAGGAGGTGCAGATGAAAGCCTGTTGGAGGAATTTAAAGCCTACTCAGTTGTTCCACTCTCTGAAGACAAGTTTCAATCACTTTCACTGCTTATGTACCTCGATGCCTCCACCATCTTCACAGGGCTTAAAGTGGAAGTGACACACTGTGGAACCATGCGTAGGAAGTACAGAGTCTGCAACGTGACACGACGCCCTGCCAGCCTCCAGACGTACGTTTCTATATCGCACTCCAGCGGCTGTTAAACCGCAATCAAAGCTGTCGTTGGCTTACACTAACTGGAGACTCTCGCTACTTTCAAATCCACAGATTTCCGCTGCAGCTCGAGAACGGTCAGACCGTCGAACGCACGGTGGCGCAGTACTTCAGAGAGAAGTACAACCTGCAGCTGAAGTACCCCCACCTGCCTTGTCTGCAGGTGGGCCAGGAACAGAAACACACCTACCTGCCTCTGGAGGTAAGGACTGATGTAAACAGTGTGCAAGTCTTTAGTTTCAGACATCCAGTCATAAATCAGGAATATCAAAACACAATCAGCACCATAAAACATAATTTATTTACACATTTTTACGTCCCGCCTGCTGCTTCATAATGTTGAGCCTCAGTACTCCTGATTGGCTCGGACAAATAAAAAAAAAAACACCGTCATTAACCAAGAAACCATAAAATCAAACATGAACACAAAATCAGGCTCGCTGAACAAAGTGAAACTAAATAGTAATTCAATCTGATTATCAGGTGTGTGTAAAATGCTCGATTAACCCGAACTGCCGTTTTTAGGTGTGCAACATTGTAGCCGGACAGCGCTGCATTAAAAAACTGACAGATAACCAGACGTCGACCATGATCAAAGCAACCGCTCGCTCTGCACCAGACAGACAGGAGGAGATCAGCAGGCTGGTGAGTTTCCTGTCGACCGGTTTCATTTTCGTTTTTAATTTTTGTTTTAAATTCAGTTTATTTTCATCTAGATTTTCCCAGAGTGGGTTTTCTCGTTCAGTTTAGTTTTTCTTGTTGTTTTATTAGCTTCAGTGTTTTTTTTTTTTATAATAATGGAGTATTTGTCAGAGGCCAGTTTTAGAAAGATATTCTGAAGGCAGTCGACTCACAGAAAGACATTTCCTGTAGATTTTTATTTACTTTCAGTTAGTTTTCATTTTAGTCTAGTTTTTTTTTTTTTTTTTTGTATATTTTTTTTTTTTTTTTACTACCATCTAATTTCCTCCATTTTATTTTTTTGCTGTTTTTATAAAACGTTAATATCTCCCTCTTTAGGGATGAGGAGCTGCGAACTACGAGGCCCGGACCCGGTTCGTTCAGGAGTTTCAGTTCCGCGTTGCGAGAATGAGGATGGGCTCGCCAGGTGACGGGCGGCGTCGCCGGCGGCCCCCATGGCTCGCATATGGCGGCAGGGTGAGCTACTGGAATCAATTTATCGGTACTTTCCTTTTAAATTCACGCTTCCATTTTGCATGTGGTGTTTGTTGTGTGCTGGTGGTAGGGGTTTCCTTTAGTCGTCATAAAAGTTTGACTAATAACTCTTGACATTTGCCGGCCACAACAAAATCTATTGAGGAACTCTTTCATCTGGATGATACAAATCTTAATCTGAGTTGAACAATTTTATTGGGGGAAACCCTTTTTATCTCTTTTCTCTCATCCATAACTGTTGTAGTTCTCCCTCATTGCATCCTGTCTGTCTCACACGTTTTCTCCTGTTTTTGTCTGAACTTTTACTTTTTGAGTTTGCTGTGGTTTTTATATTCTTTCACACATGCATGCTGTTTTAAAAATCATACATCGAAGCAGTTTTAATTTGAAATAAGTCTCTGTTTTGCATGTCTGCCATAAAAA